GTCATGACATAACATCTAAAATCATCTAACATGAGTATAAATCATCTCATGATGTAAATAACATCATAACTCATGTAATGCAACTAAATGCATATGAAACATTTAACGTCTAGCCGATCGGACCTTTCTTAGCATCTTAAGCACTTCATATCATCTAGCCTCAAATTTCATCTAGAGCTCATATCATCGGGAGGCGTGCTTACGCGTTATTTAGCATCTAAAGCATATATTCATCTTTCCTCAACCGATATACGAGGATATGCTTACGCGTTTTCCATCATGTCTATATGCATCTCTATCATGTCTATTTGCATCTCTAACATCTTATGGCATGTAAATACATATTTTGGTGAGCTTAATACTTTTAATTCATCTATGGATTATCAATCCATTTACATTACCTCTTGCTCACATACATCATCTTAAAACATGTATTACATTGCATCTTCATGCCATTTCATAACATTAATCATGCATTGACATCATGACCATGTATATCTTTCAAAGATCATCTAACTAATGGGTAAACATTAGTACATGGCATACTTACAATAATACATTAATAATCAATTCATAATCATAAGAATTGATTATGTTAAATCTTAAACTTTAATAACCAGTTTATACTTCAGGCCATTTTCCATCCTTTTCTAAAACGAATTGGCTCTTGGCTTAAACATAAAAGTTATAGGTCTGTGTCTTAGCTTTCTAATGCTTCAAGAATCATCTCATTTCGATTTTTATAACTCAAGTTATGGTCGAAATACTGAAGCAGGGTTAACAAAACCCCTATGCCCACTAAATCCGAATTTTCATATTAACTATGCCACATCAATTCCTATTGACATTAACCAATAGGTTAACTTATGGATCAAATAAACCTCCCCTTAATAGTCTTTAACATCTTAAAGGAAGTGTAAAATCTCATTCCCATAATCATCCATTATTGCTATAACATTGTAAGCTAATGCAAACAACACATCAACACTTCTAATAGCAACCATTCAACACCATGTGGCCTCCAATACTACAATTTTTGCCACAATCAGTATCCACACTTCATTTTCTTCAATCAAACATAACAACTCATAAAACATAAATAGCAATAACTTCATGTATAATGAATTCAAGGCAATAAGTAGAATAAATGAGTTCAACTACACTTGCCATCAACTAATTCTATGCCTTAAAGCTTTAATTTAAGGTTTCATAAAAATCTACAAACCCTAGCATAAACCCTAAAGTCATGGGAGGTTCTTCCTTACCTTTTTAAAGACTTCCTCCAACAAATCCTTTGCCTTTGACTTCTTTTACACCTTAATCCTACATATATAACATTATACCTCAACATCTACCTCAAATCTTCAAATCACATCAAAACTAAAGTTTTTAATCCTTACCTTAAACCCTTCAAATTGAAGATCCAAGGCTCCTATCTTGTTCTCCTTGAAAAATTATGCAAAACTCCTTGAAAACCTAGAGAAAGAAAGCTTGTTTCATGGAAGATTTGAGAGAAAATGGAAGAAATGTTGAAGAAAGGCTCTCTCCTTTGGCTTGAACGAATTTCATCTCATTTATAGGAAAATATTTCATTTATTTTCCAAAATTATGCAATTGGCCCAATTATTTTAATTGTATAACTCATCAGTCCTTAATTCTTCATATAAGGGCATTTTGGTCATTTCACACTAGACATAATTATTATTTAATTAATGCCATTAAATGCAATGAAGCCTACTCATCCTTGACTTTTTCAATGCTTATCCATAGGCAAAATAACCATTTTGCCCCTAGGCTTTTCTATGGATAATTGATTCATACTGTTCCAAATGAATTGACTATTTTGCCCTTAGTTAGATTTTATGCTTTTTAACATAAAATTAACATCTAAAGGACTATTTTGAGTTAGGAACATACCTTTGACATCTTGGGTATTACAGTAGCTTGAATAGAGTTTACTTGCATATTTCCCAACTGTTTCTGAAGTGTCGTGAGTTGGGCTGAGATGGCGTGAATGCATCAACTTCATGAAGACCCATAGATTTTCTCCGTATTGCTCTCTCATTAGGTCTTTGATAGTTGTTGCTTGCCAAAACTTCAAGCAACTCATAAGCCTCCTCCGGTGTCTTATTCTACAAGGCTCTTCCCGATGCCGTATCCACCATAGTTTGCACATTGCCCATCAATCCATTATAGAATGTTTGGACTTGCAACCAAACTGGCAACCCATGGTGTGGACATTTCCTCATAAGTTCCTTGTATCTCTCCCAAGCCTCATACAATGACTTAGACTCTTCTTTAGAAACGATGTGATATCATTTCTCATCTTCACTTATTTTGCTGGAGGAAAGAATTATGTTAGGAACTTTAGTGCTAAATCGTTCCATGTTGTGATCGTTCCTGATGGTAGTGCCATTAACCACCCCTTAGCTTTATCCCCTAGTGAGAACGGGAATAGTCTCAACCTGATGGCGTCATCTGACACTCTGTTTGACTTGAAGGTGTCGCAAATCTCTAGAAAGTTTGCAATGTGTTGATTTGGATCTTCCTTCAAATCTCCATTGAACCAAACTGACTGCTAGATCATCTGAGTCATTTTTAGCTTTATTTCAAAAGTGTTGGCTTGGACTGCTGGTCTTGTAATGCTCAAACCACTAAAATCAAATGTGGGAACTGAGAATTCCCTTAGTGTTCTGGTTTCTGCCATTTCAACAACTATGACCTTTGGTTCCACAACTGTAGCCTTTCGTTCTCTTCTCTCTCTGTTAAGTCTTTTGGCTGTTCTTTCAATCTCAGGATCAACAGGAACCACTGGCTGATGTCTTGCTCTTCGTATAAACTACACAAAAAGAGCGAAAGAAAAGTCAGATCACAAACCAACTGAGAATAACAACAAAAGTGAAACAAAAAATGATGAAAACAAAAATTAAACTCCAATCTAGCTAATGAAAGACCAAAAACTTGATGCTTTGTAACTGCAACATGCATAAATAGCAAGTGCACTAGTCACACAAAGTAATAAAGTGATGAGTGAGTATCGTTCCCACGAGGATTGTTTGCTAAGCACTAAGTTTTCTACTGTTTTCAAGCTGAAGCAATCGGATTCATTTGGATTAATGGGAGAAATTTAAACTATAACTAAAACAAAATTTGCTAAAATAAAACTAAATTATGAAAGCAAGATTAAAACAAGGGTAATATCAATTCAAACAAATGGGTAAGGTTTTGACTTCATTCGGACTCTATGGATTAAGCCTACGGATTATGTTATTTCCATATTCACATGCATTGATTGTAAATCGAATTCTCTAAAGTACAAAACATACCTTCTCAGGCTATGTTTTCCTACTCTTCCCTATCAAACTTCTGTGCCCAACAATTTGAAGATTAATAGTTCTAAGTTCATTAAGCACATGGAATCCTAGATTGATTTCATTGATTCTCAAATCTATCTCCAGCATTCAATACTACAATGGTGATTACCTAAGAAGCTTAACACGATTCATTTCTCAATTTCATCATGTTCATCAAATAAAAGCAATAAAAATTAGAGTAATCACACAATCAATGCAAAATGATATGAAAATAACAACAATCAATTTCTCAATCCATGGAAATCCAAATTACATCAAAACCCTAACCCAAAATGGGTTAGTTCATAACTAAATCAACACAACAAATAAGAAAAAGGAATAACCCAATGTTCAACATATTGAAAATGAGAGAAAAGACAGGAGATATCCCCTAAGTGAAAAATCCACAAGTTAAATCCTGAATCTTCTCCCTTCTTAATCAAAACTCAGCCGATCTCTACCAAAGAATGAAAATGGGCTACTCTAGACTTAAAAAAAATGACCAACCCCCTCAAAATGGCAAAGTTTTGCTTTTATACCTCGCCCAAAAATCTAGGACTTTGCCTAAAATGAAACTATGCGTTTTATAGAAAACTGAAATTTGTAGACTTCGCCGTGGCGAAGAAGGAATCTCGCCGCGGCGATGAAGTAAAAATGGAAATTCTTGTGCGTGACCCCCTTCGCCGTGGCGAACCTTCAGGTGGAATTTTGAATTTACAGAATTGCCCTCTGCTTGCTTCTTTGCTTGAATCTTCGATATTCGATGCTCTCCCATGGAAGCAAGCTTCATAGTGCTCCACTCTGCTTCAGAATTCTCCCAAATTCTGGGATCTGCTTACTTCTGGGTCTAGAAACTCCAATTCGCTCATTATTTGCTCAAAAAGTCCATTTTGGCCTGAAACACAAAATATATAGAATTAAGTAGCAATTCAGGTAAAAATGAAGTAAGAAATATCTAAAATCCGACCAAAAAGCCTAATAAAAACAGTATAATCCTTGGATTATCAATCGTTGTTAGGGATTGATTCGTGTGTTAACATTGAATTTATCTTGAGTTAGCTAGATTGGAGTTTTATTTTTGTTTTATTATTTATTAGTTAAATTTATGTTGTTCTTTTCTGTTAGCTTGTGATGTCACTTTTTATCTCTTTCTGTATAGTTTATGCGAAGAGCTAGACGTAAACCAGTGGTTCCTGCTGATCCAGAGATTGAAAGAACCACAAGAAGACTTAACAGAAAGAGAAGAGAACGAGAGGCTGTAGTTGTTGAGATGGCAGAAAACAGAACATTAAGGGAATTTTTAGCTCCCATAGTTGATGGCAGGGGGTCAAGCATAACTAGACCAGCAGTATAAGCCAACACTTTCAAAATGAAGCCGACAATCATCCAGATGATCCAGCAGTCGATACAATTTAAAGGGGATTTGAAGGAAAATCCAAATCTGAACATAACAAACTTTTTGGAGATTTGTAATACCTTCAAGTCCAACTGAGTGTCAGATGATGCCATCAGATTGAGATTGTTCCCTTTTTCATTGAAGGACAAAGCAAAGGCATGGTTAGTGGCACTACCACCAGGGATGATATGACCTGGAATGAATTAGTACAGAAGTTCTTGACCAAATTCTTTCCTCTAGCAAAATCTGCGAAGATAAGAAATGATATCACATTGTTTCTATAGGAAGAGTCCAAATCTCTATATGAGGCTTGGGAGAGATACAAGGAACTAACGAGGAGGTGTCCACACCATGCGTTGCCAGTTTTGATGCAAGTCCAAACATTTTATAATGGATTGATGGGTAATGTACAAATTATGGTGGATGTAGCATCGAGAGGAGCATTGCAAAATAAGACACCTAAAGAGGCTTATGAGTTGCTTGAAGTTTTAGCAAGCAACAACTATCAAAGACCTAATGAGAGGATACAGCCGAAGAAATCTACGGGTCTTCATGAAATTGATGCATACACGACCATTTTAGCCTAACTCATAGCACTTTAGAAACAGTTGGGAAATATGCAGGTAAACTCTATTCAGGCACCTCAACTAACTTGTGATTTTTGTGCAGGTAGTCATGTGAGCAGTGAATGTCAGGTGGGGAACACATTTGCTTCAGCGTCTTCATCATCAGAACAGGTTAACTACCTGGCAGGAAATCAAAGGCGACCGAACAATCTGTTCTCCAGCACTATAATCCTAGTTGGAGGAATCATCGGAACCTATCTTGGGGCAATCATAATCAACAAAATCAGTAGAACAATCAATGGAATCAAAGAGTAATGCCAAACAACCAAGCAGGGGTGAACAATCAACCAAGAGAGCAAAGAGTGATAAAACTGGAGGATATGTTTGGAAAGTTTATGCAAGAGACCACAAGTTTCATGAATGAGACCAGGGCGAATTTCAGAAACCAAGAGGCATCCATTCGGAACTTGAAGGTACAAGTGGGCCAATTGGCCGATAAGCTAAATGATAGACCACAAGGCTCCCTACCAAGCAACACAGTGACAAATCCACGAAAACAAGTTAATGCAATAACCTTAAGTAGTGGAATAGTCTTGAGAGAGGTTGAGAAAGGAAGGAAGGAAGGATGAGAGTCCACCAAGTAAAGCAAAGGAAGATTCAGATGAAGAAGTGGATGAAGAGATCATTGTTGAAGAAAAACAACCAGTCTTAGGAAAGATAAACAAAAGCAAAGGAAAGAGAAATTGCCAGGTTTCGAGATACCACTAGGATTAGCACATCACATGCCTCTGTGCCTTTTCCTCATAGGCTGAGAAAAGAAAATTAGGATAAGCAGTTCATTAAATTTCTTGAGGTATTTAAAAAACTGCATATTAACATTCTTTTTGCAGATGCCTTGCAGCAGATGCCGAGTTATGCGAAATTTCTCAAGGACATTTTGCTGAATAAAAGGAAATTGGAAGAGGAGGAAACCGTGATGCTCACAGAGGAGTGTAGTGATGCGTTGTAATTACAACATGCAATATGTAGCAAGTGCACTAGTCGCAAAAAGTAATAAAGTGATGAGTGAGTATCGTTCCCACGAGGATATGTTACTAAGTACCGATTTTTCTAGTTTAAGTCCTAATTGAAGCAACAAAAAATTTGATTGATGGAAGATTAACAAACTAAATACAAATTAACAAAATAAAAATGAATGATAATGAAATTAAAGCAAAACCCAATAACTTAACTAATTAAACAATGCTAAAAAATGCTAGGGTGTTGAATTCACCTAGATACGCTAACCCAAATCATAAAATCTATTACCCAAGTTCTAATTCCTTGATTGAAAATCGAATTCCCTAAGTTGTAAAACATACATTCTCATGCTACATTTCCCTAATTATCCCTATTAAGCTTCCATACCTAACAAAATGAAGATTAATAGTTCAAAGTCTTTTAAGCTTTATGGAATTCTATCTAGATTTCATAGATCGCTAAACCTATCTCTAGCATTTGCTTAATCTATGGTATTTATCCCAAGAGGCACAATCACAAATCACTTCTCAGTCTCATTGTGAACAACACACATTTGAATGGTGATCAAGCATCCAAGAGCCATTAAGCAAAGAGATAAACACTCAATCATGAAATTAAAACTCAAAGTAAATCAATTCATATAAATTTGAATCATTGTATCAAGGTTACATCAAACCCTAGCTAAACAACTCAGTTCATACTAAAAAACGAAATAAAATAACAAAAACAAATTGAATCAAGATTCATCATTGAAAAACAAGCAAAAGATGGAAAAATCTTCTCTAATTTGAAGCCCAAATCTTCAATCATCTTCTCCTTCCATGAGCTGCCTCCCAAATGATGAACCAAGACCCTTTTTCTTTCCTATTCGTCCTAATTTATACCTCTCTCACTTAAGGACCAAGCCCTAGCAAGCCAAAACGTGTCGTTTTATTTTTCACATCTGCTGCAGTTTTCGCCGCGGCGAAGCTTTTTCCTTGCCGCGGCAAGACTCTTTCGGGCCAAATTGGAGCATGATAGAGTCTGAATATAGAAAAGTGTTAAAAATATGAATTTTAGCCCTTTAAATTATCTTTCCACTCGTTTATGAATAAGCACAATCCGAGGTCTACAGCTCAGGTTATGGCAAAAATACTGAAGCACGTCCAAAGACATTTTTCTTCAGTTCCCAGCGTATTCTTCACGACTTCAAGCCAAGTGTTCACCTTTGTCCACTCAGAATTAGGAAAAACCCAAAACATGAAAGTTGTAGCTCTTCTTCTTAGCTTTCCAAAGCTTCTAAATTCAAGTCATTCCAATTTTCCAAGCTCATGTTACACAATTTACGCTCGAAACTGTCATTTATGCTTAAAATCATCGTTTAGGCCTGCAAAGACAAATTAAGAGAATTAGGTAGCAATTATGGCCCAAATTGCATGAGAAGTATCCAAAATCCGGCCAAAAAGCCTAAATAAAACAGTATAATCGTCGGATTATCAAATACCCCCAAACTAAAGACATGCTCGTCCCCGAGTATCGGGTACAAAACTGAAAGAAAGAAACACAACAAAAAACCAAAAACTCAAAACAACAAAACTGAAAATGAACAACAAAAATTAGACTCAAACTCAACAAAAGAATTGCCTAGAATTTACACAAATCTCAAAGGTTGTTGAAAAATTATTACTAGAAAATGTTCAACACTCCAAGAAATTATAAGCTGTATCGACTATCTTTCTCTATCGGTCCCCCGAGTAGGCGATCCTCACTTCAATCCACCTTCCGACTTCCCGGATTATTTTATGCAGAATTGCAAAGTTTATCAAATGGTGATAGACTCCATAAGCCTAAATATCAAACTACTCTCCACTAATGAGGATTAGACACAGATGAGAATCAAAAGGTCTTTGCAAGCTTGTAACGTTAGGCTCGGGTTGTGGGCTACAAGGAAAAGGACAGGATAAACAAAGTAAGAGAACTCGGTTTTCCTCATGCAAACACTAAGAGCTACATCAATCTCCGCTTTCTTTGTCAACCACCAATCAAAGTGTCAACCATTTTACAACCCTCAAACTTATGCATTTCTTATTTTTGATTTTGAATTGAACTAAAGAAATTCTTTTTTCTTTTTTTTCTTTTCTTTTCTTTTTCTTCTTCTTCTATTTTTATTTTTTATTTTTTATTTTTAACAATAACAAATATTTACAACACCATTGAAGTCTATTGCCCTTTCTTCCTGCCCTTTTTGCAACCCCTAAACTTAAAATTTTGGTCCATCACTTATTCACACACCTCTCGAAGCTCTTTTGTGTCATACATTATGTCCATAATTCTCCTAAAGGGTATGATAAAGTGTTTAAGGCATAGGGATTGGACAAATTTTTTTTTTTTTTTTTGGCAAGAAAAATAAGGTAATGATAATCACATAAGCCACAAATGGGTGACTAGAGAAAGATTCATTCATGGGTCGGCTGGAAAGGCTCAAATGTTCCGAAAAATGCCTAAATTATTTCCTCAACAATGTCTAATCCTAGAATTTCGCCTCAAGCACTTCTTAACTAGGTTCTAGAGTCCACCAACATTATCAAACTTCACCTAACCACATAAAATGAATGTAAGCATGCCGAAATAAATGAAAATGATGGCTGAACCGCTTAACAAACCTCAATCAAAATTCAGTCAATAAACAAAAACTTGAAGCAATGCTTAACATTTTCCAAAAATAATATCCCAATTATTCTAGTTTTATCATAGACTTATGCAATTCATCTAGGCAACAACAACACAACACACACTAAACAAATAACAATCAAAGAACTTAAAACAAAAAGAAACACAATTTCGAGCTAAAACACACAAACAAACTAAACACGAAAATTTTGAACATTTTCCTAACAAAAACTTAAAATGACATTGTCCCCAATGTCGTATCATGCACATCCAAGGAATAGAAAAACAAAAGTAAAGGTTACAAGATACTCCCCTGATTAATCCATAAAGGTCGATTTTTGTGCAAAATCTTGGCATCCATTCCTTGGCTTCCTCATCATCATCATCTGTCAGACAAATGAAAGTCTATGGTGCCAAATGTGTTAGATACCCTCACCGATTAATATGAAAGAATTACATCATGATCTCAACCTTATTGAACTAAACCTAAAATCTAAACAAAAACAAATAAAGAGCTAAAAACCAGGAAATCAACATCAATTCTTACTTACAAAACATAAAGAAATAAAAACTAAAACTAAAAAGAAAAGTGCTTTAGGAAAATTTTTGTAAAAGTGAAAGGTCATGCGACTATTAAAAGAAAACAGACTTCACCGCGGCAAAGTTTCCTTAGCAAAATTCACCCAACTTTCTTCGCCTCGGCGAAAAAATACAGAAGCTGCATCATAAAAAGAGGCTAATTCGCCTCAGCAAAGAACAATCTTTGTCACGGCGAAGTCTAGGACTTTCGACTTCTGTTCTGTGCAAAATGTGCTTCGCGGCGGCGAAGGTAACTTCTTCGCCCCGGTGAAGTCTGTAACATTTTCCCTTTTTTGCCTTAGTTCGAAACTTCACCTGAAACACCCAAGAACACACAAAATCAAAATCATTCTAAATCATAAGAAAACTAAACAAATTCAAATGACAATTAAATGAAAAATAATTGAAAACACTTGGGTTGCCTCCCAAGAAGCACTTGTTTATAGTCGAGAGCTTGACTTTCTCATTCTTTCATCAATGTGGATCCTTGTGGGGTGCTTCACTTCCCTTTTGCCACCTCTTGGTCTTTCCTTTAGAATTTTGG